GTTTTGATGGGTAGACTGTGCCCACCTCTGAAAAGCCGTCAGGTAAAGGACCAAAAGCTCTGGGGAGGCCCCCGGCATAGCTCCTGCTTGTAAGGGCAAAGCCACTTGGCTGAGTGGTGGAAGAAGTCTGCGCCGCAAAGAGCGGTGAAGGAGCTTGCCAGGCACACTGGACAAGATAATACTGCGGAAATCGGCACAGTTGAGGCTGGCATAGGCTTTCTTAGCCAGCGTGATCAGGCAGCCGCCTTTGAAGACAATCGGTTCTCTGCAAGCAAGAGCAGCCTTAGCAAATATCGGCAAAAGCCTCCTGGAGCTAGTGGGAACATCAAGCTTCAAGATATCCGCCGTGATCAAGTCCGGGCCAGCCGCCTTGCCTCTGCGCAGCTGCAGGATGTCCTGCTCAATGTCTGTAAGGGTGGGGATACATTGAATGTCAAAGTTCGGCACACTGTCCGGGCTTGGCGCTTGTGGCTTAACAGTACGGTCGTACTCCTTTTCAGCAACAATCTGCCCACCTTCTTGGCTGGCAAAATGTTCAGTCCATCTTTGCATGCGCTCCTCAACATTCTTGGCCTTGCTCCCATCCTCGAGCAGAACAGCAGGGAGGGGGCAGAAACCCCGTCTGAATTTGTCCAACCTGCGCCGCCCCGCAGGCGTTGCAAGCCCTTTGTCTCGGAGGATACACTTGCAGCCATTGCTCACCGCAAGGATGTTCGGCGCTTCCTGGCTTCTGAAACAGCGGCCTTGAATCGAGTACGTGTTTTGGCTGGTTTCTTTGCCTTTTGGATACAGTGGCGGCACACCGCGCCTACTGCCCGGCAGTTGCAGTATTTGCAAGAGACATTTCGACGTGGCCGTTTTGGTATTGCTTCTGCGATTGGCTGCCTTGAAAAACTTCGCTCTGCCCTGAGGAAGGCCATTGGCAGGGACAGGGCAACTTATCTCAGTCAGCTTGCTGGAGAGGTTGCTGAATCCTCCTTGCAACAACCCAAGCAACTCTTTGCCGCTGTCTACAAGGCTTTTCCTGTTGTCAGGTCCAAGCGCAGAGCAGCACCAAATAGTGCTGCAAACAAAGGCCGCATAGTGTGCGTCCACATCAAGATGCCAGTCGACCTTGGGTAGGGCCTCAACGGCGTAGCGAAAACATTGCAGCTGACCAGGGTCAGTGTTAGCCTGAGGTCTGGGAGCCCTGGCAGTAGTCTTGAACTGCACGCACGAGGTGTTGCGCGCAAGCTCACAGAAAAGGAGAACAGGCTGGTGATCATCAACATCGTGAACATGGTCAAAATCGTACCAGACTCGCGAAGCCAACGTCCCAGTAAACCACTCCTCAGGAACTGCAATGTAATCAAGCCTGTGACCCGCCCCGGAGTTGACTTTCCAAGTGCAGTGCCCTCCGCGGTGAGAGGCAGAGAATGTGGAGGGCAAGCTGAGCCCAAAACTGATCAGAAAATCATGGAAGGCTGCACCTGCCCGATTCTCACACTCGAGGCCTTCTGACCCAACCGCCGTGGAACACACAGACCCCAGATGCCCATTACTGTCAGCAAGCACCACAAGCTGTGCACCAGAAGGTCTAGAGGCCACCACACCACCAACTTTCTTCCAAAATTGTTCAGCCTCACATGATCTGTGCCCGTCATAGGGTGCGTGCGCTGAAACAAAAGTGACAGGAAAGTCTGGCAGGTCAACTTGCACTATCAACAATCTGGGTTCAGCCAGTAGAACAGTACAAATCTCTTTGGTGAAGGTAGACATTCGGCGACCGGAAACAATGACTGGCAGTGACTTGCTCAACCAGAGTGCACATCCAAAGCATCCATGCTGATCACAAGAGGAGTGTAGCAT